TTAGACTTCGGACTGGACACTGTGGTCTTCGAGCACACTTGTACAGGATAGGCATAAAAGAATCTGCTGCCTGTGATTGTGGAGCAGAAAGACAAACCCCTGAACACATACTGCAGTACTGCCCTTACCTCTCCCAGCAAAGACTGTGGATCTGGCCCAAAGGAGCCACATTGCAAGAGAATCTATGGGGGACCGGTGACGACCTTAAACGCACAATCCTATTTGTGACCCAGACGGGACTCAATGTTTAGCATGACTGATATCGAACGCAGAAGAAGAAGAAGAAATTCTGTTTAAAACTCAGGAAAAGCGCCACTGCGACAGTTCATTTAATGCGACAAGTTTATGAGGATAATTGTTTATCTCATGCACAGATTTTCAGCTGGTATTCACGATTCAAGAGTGGCAAGCAAGTGATTACTAATGCAAATAGACCTGGACGCAATTTCTGTTCGTAATGAGGAACTCATTGCAAAATTCTGAGAATGGATACAAGAAGATCGTTTTTCAACTGTGAGGATGATGGTAAATGAATGTGGTGTTAATACAGAGACTGTAAAATTTCAGATTGGGCAAGAAAAAAGTTACTTGTCGGTTTGTAATTCAACACCTGTCAATTTTCTTTCTTCTTTATGACAATGCACCAGCTCAAAGGCCGGTAGTTGTAAAAGAATTTTTCGCCTAAAAACAGATGCGTGTTTCCTGTTCTCCCAGATTTGTCTTCCTGTGACTATTTTCTATTCCTAAAATTAAAGTTGCCATTAAAAGGACACTTCTTTGACAATATCGATAGCATCCCAGGGGGTGTAACATCAACTTTAAGGGTCATAACAATAGAAGAACTAGAGTGGTCGTTCCAATGTTTATTAGATCGTGCCACTCGCTGTATCAATGCACAAAAGGCTTACTTCGAAAAAAAATACAGGTTATATCTTCAACTGTTGATTATTTTTATGGAATTAGTCTCACTACTTAATTGTCAGGGCCGACTGGCCAGTGCTGTCGCCACAGACTGCAGGTTAGGATTTTAATTTATTGGGGACAAACAATGCCAATGGAAAAGGAAGTCATGGGTCATTTTTGACTGGATCAAGTAGTTCATTACAAACTGACAAGTGGAGTGATTGTCCCTGTCTCTTACCAGTGGCAGAGTTTTAAATTGGTCGCCACTTGTCCCGTTTGCAAATCTTCACTTACGATCTGTTAAAAGCGTGTAGCAACGTCTGCACAAATAGTCATTCTTAATACAAATACAGTTAGTGCTAACACAATCAGTCTTGATACAAATACAGTTAGTGCTAACACAATCAGTCTTGATACAAATACAGTTAGTGCTAACACAATCAGTCTTGATACAAATACAGTTAGTGCTAACACAATCAGTCTTGATACAAATACAGTTAGTGATAACACAATCACAGTGCAGGGCGGGAACAACCACACATATACAGTATATTGTGGAAATACATATAATTCCAGTTTTGTCACAACTACACAGGGTGTCAGTCACACAAATAAATGCAACAACAAAAAAATAGACTCAAGAGAAACCAATCCACATGTTCTTAATTTCTGATCCGTGTTTTTACAAAAATATGTCAAAGGTTACACAATAAATCCAAACTAACATTGAAATGATGATGTATGTCATCAGTTTCTGCAGCGCCCGCTTACCTCACCCACCCAGTCACAGGTGACCATTTGATGTTGTTGGTCTACCCAGAGCTGAAATAGTTTCCCCTCTACTGCTGGTCTACTCATAGCTGAAATAGTTTCCCCTCTACTACTGGTCTACTCACAGCTGAAATAGTTTCCCCTCTACTCTTGGTCTACTCACAGCTGAAATAGCTTCCCCTCTACTGCTGGTCTACCCAGAGCTGAAAGTTTCCCCTCTACTTCTGATCTACTCACAACTCTACAGGTTGACTGAGTTCAACGCCAGCAATTCCCTCCCACCACTAATCTAGCCACAGGTTCCAAGTCACACAATGGTGCTTATAAATCAAACATGCAAGAGAGGAAAATATAAAAACCTAACCCAGAATTTATGAAGTCCTGAAAACAAAAATGTCCATAGGTAAAAACAAACTTGGCCATAAACATCCACTTACAACTCTCTGGCCACCATGATGCATTCAGTAAGTCTAAATCGTAAACTTACTGCCCACCCAGATGTTTTCAATAAGTCTAAATCTGTATCTTGATGGCCACGCCTTGGTCCAACTGGGATGCAGACACCCAGGTGGGAGACAGCAAGCATTCTCTGCTGGAGATCAGTGCACTTCTTGAATGTCAGCTGAAAACTGTCAAACACCAGTGACATCTATCTGCAGGTTATATAATATGGGAGACAAGATGCTGACACTTGTCAGTGCTAGGTCTGGTTGCCGGCGGTTTATGCAGCAAGTTTGTGAGGTGGCTCCCATTGGTGGCATCATTGTAGACTGACTGCCCCCCCCCCCGCATGAATGCAGCCACAGAGTTGTGTCACAGGACAATGCTGCTGGGACACGTGGAAACTAATGTAATACTGTATCATGTTTGTTAAAGCAGTGCGTGGCTTAAGTGGCAACAGTGAGTTGAATGTGGATGTACAGACAAATCAAATAACCAACCTCATATAACATGCTATAATTTATCTCTGAATATCCAAGAGAGGAAGGAATGCTATCTTCCCATCTCTGGATATCCAGCAGTGGAGGAAATTATACCTTATCTCTTGATATCCAGGAGTGAAGGAAATTCTTTTTTTCCCCACCTCTGGAAATCTCGAGTGAAAGAAATTCTTTTTTTCCCCACCTCTGGAAATCTCGAGTGAAGGAAATTCTTTTTTTCCCCACCTCTGGAAATCTCGAGTGAAAGAAATTCTTTTTTTCCCCACCTCTGGAAATCTCGAGTGAAGGAAATTCTTTTTTTCCCCAACCTCTGGAAATCTCGAGTGAAAGAAATTCTATCTTATCTCTGCATATCCAGGAGTGGAGGATTTTCTATCATCACATCTCTGGATATGCAGGAGTGTACATCAAATATTGACTCATAAACACATGACACATATTGATATCTTCTGATGACAATAAGCACAGGCCCGCCTGAAGCTCACAGAGACAGACTGACCAATCAATGACACAGTGGTCATGCACCATCATCTGGCAGCGGCCAAGCCTCTCAAACACACCTTTCCTTGGTCATACTGAGATACTTGTGTGGCAGGATAAACTGACATAGGCTTCTTGTTCTGTCTGTGTATCCAACAGCTGCCCCCCTCTGTGTGCTTACAGGCGGTGCCAACTCAACACTATAACATGAGAGATTTGTAAAACATCAACCAAAACCTGTACATAACAACATCGGTTGTCCTCCAGCTGGTACCTGCTCGCAGGGGGAGGAAATGTGCTTCACACAGACACTCGACCAATGTTTGCAACCACACCACTGTATCAATCGCTCCACCAGAAATCATGTACTAAAACCATCAAACGTGATCTTCCAATTTCAGAAAACCAGATAACCTGTTCCTCAGTTCATCTAACAAGACTACCTGGATCAGTTGCTGTAGTGTGACAAGAAAATCTAGCCAAACAGTGTAGCACAGGTAGCTAAATCATGATTTACATCTTATTCTACTACATGGTAATCAATCATCATCTTGATGTATGCCCACAACAGAAACAAAAACATTTCTGGTCCTTAAAGAAATACACCTACCTACCTCTGATAAGTAGACAAGGACAGACTAATATGTTGGTGCACTTAATCAGGAGTGCCAGGGGGTTTTGATCTCATTGAGCTGTCTCACATTCAGAATAAATACTAAAGGAGAAACTAGCCAATAAAATAAATGCTTCATAGACTAGCCCAGCCCGTAATTTTTACTTGCTACAAAAGTGACCAACATCTTTGGTCATCAAAGATCATCCACCTGACCAAATTTACTCTACTGACAAAATATACCACCACATCTATCACTCAACATATCTCTGAATTGTCAACCTGGGGTCACTAAAAAGGATATGGGCAACGGGCCAGCAAAGCTGAGCAGTTATCTGTAATGGATGATGGCTTTTATAAATATTCAATCGAGAAAATGATTCAGATTCACAGTTCAGTCATTTAATTCCGCATGCAATCCAAGTAAAGACAAGCAGATACAATCACTAAACACAATCACTGAAAGTTCAGAAGACCACATATGCCAGACAAGACTGGAAAAGATGAGGATATTAATTCCTCTCACCAAAATGACATTTGAGATATAACCATTTCCCCAGAAAATGTGCAGCATCCCAACTGACATGGCAAGCTGAAAACCGCCCCTGTCTGAGACTCTCGTCCTAATATCCAGCACAGCGGACAACAAATGATGTGAACATAGACAGCTAAGGTTTTATTGTCAGCAACTCCAACAATCAGCAGATAGGAGAGGTGCCAGCACTGGAGAACAAGGCTTGCGAAGAAAGTGATTGCCAATGCCAGTTACAAAGGCACTTGAAGAAACATGGTATTTATTTTGCTTTTGTGCCACATTTTTTTTTGACACATGTGCTGCATTGTCAGACTCTCCAACATTCTCATCTTTTGAACATGGCTGAAGGTGATAAATAGTGTCTGTGACATGAACACAACTCTATTGGATAATATCACGCCAGTGCACTTGCACACCTACTAAAACTGTCACACAGACTGACACACCCGCACACAAGCTGGCTGTCACTCAGCCTTCACACAAACCAACACTGAAAATTCCCATAGGAGCTGTTACTATGAAACAACTCCCACACATAATGACACAAATCTGATACTGTACTAAATGTTGCCCTATTAAATCACTAACAACAAACATGGTCTTGCCAGGGAACAGAGCACTACTGTGCTGTGCTACTGCACGACATATAACACAACAGACTACACAAGCCACCCAGTCTCAAAGCACATTTCCTCTGTAGGTCGTCAGTAGCCAGTTGGGTCAGAGATATCACAGGCATCACACTACGGCTGCCATTTTATTCAGACTCCGGCTTTGCACTTGACTTGTCCGCAAACTCGGAGATGATGTCGCGGAACCGTCCCCAGGACCGCTCTGGAATGGTGATTGCCGTACGGAAATTGTTTCTGACCTAGAAAGAAACAAAGGCCAGGTCATAAAATAAATACCTACCATCACATGTTGTTTACAAGATTCTCCAACACAAGCTCTCTATAAGATCTGACTCCTCTATTTAAACATGTCACATAACAGGCTTCTTCTTCTTCTTCTGCGTTAGACATTAGTCATGCTAAACATTCAGTCCCGTCTGGGTCAAAAATAGGATTGTGCGATTAAGGTCGCCACCGGTCCCCCAAAGCTTCTCTCGCAATGTGGATCCCCTGGGCCAGATCCACAGTCTTTGCTGGGAGAGGTAAGGGCAGTACTGCAGTATGTGCTGAGGGGTCTGTCTTTCTGCTCCACAATCACAGGCAGCAGATTCTTTTATGCCTATCCTGTACAGGTGTGCTCGAAGTCAACAGTGTCCAGTCCAAAGTCTAATTGTTTATGCTGTCACTCTCTTGTCTGTAATCTCCATTCTGCCTACTGCACTCCCGTTTGAAAGACTGCTTTAGCGCTGTTTTGGTTTCCTTGTAGCTGTGTGGTGGATGAGGTTGTAGAAGATTAACTCCCAGTTTTTTTCAACTCATCTGCTCTCTCATTTCCTTGAATACCACAGTGGGCTGGAATCCATTGCAAGATCAGTTCTGCTTCCTTAGAGAGTAAGCCAATGTTGGTCCTTAGATCTGCAATTAGTTTGGTTTTTTGCTTGATAGTGCTTGGAGAACAGACAATGAGTCGCTATTTTCCAATTTTGTACCCTCTGTGTTCTTGAGTGATGAGATGTTGGACTGCAGAAAGGAGGGCAGTTGCCTCAGCTCTGAAGTTAGTGCAAATGTCACCTGCTGGTAGAGAGAGAGTTTCTGCTCTACTGCTAGGGGGTTTAATGTATATTCCACAACCCCCCTTTCTGACTGCATCTGTAGCAGAGCCGTCGGTGAAAACCTGAGTCCAAGTGGTGTTTGGATACTTCTCATCAAGTATAGCAAGAGCCAGGTTTCTCTGTTGTGTCTACATAACAGGCTTGACATCTTCTGTAAATGTTCAGTTCAGGGATGTCACAACTTTGATTAACGTTTTAAAATGTTTGTTTAATTGAAAGATACCTCCCGTAGAATAGAATTTCTGTTGTTTTTTTCTCCCCTGTTCCCAACACAACATACCGAGTCTGATAAATTTCCTGAGTGCACATTCTATAACAAAGCTTTTTAAACTGTTCCTGCCATGGACACACAATCTTACAATAGTAATTCAGTAAAGTCTACTAACAAACCAGAGGTTAAACTACCCTCTAATAAGAGACATGGACACACACATAGCTCTATGTGAATGTGCTGCAGCTGACACACTTTGTGCACTGTTTGAAAAGGTTAGTTTTAGAGGCATGTAATTATTGTCCTCCTCTGTAGACTCCAGTGATGAGTTCTGGTTATTCGTCAATTCTAGACTTGAGTTGTGTTCCAGAATCTGAGTTTTCCATACACATCTATTTTACAGGTCTGGCATACTTGTATGTAAACTGTTGGTTTCTCACTTCTTGGACAGATGCACTCTGAAGGAAGCATCCCTAATTAGTTTACTCTTACAGCCTGGTAGTTAGGGGACGGTGGGTCTATTCTTTTTGCTCCCCACACGGGGAGTGTAATGTATTCTGTCAACAGCCGTCATGTAGTCTAACATATACTTTTCAGGAACTATACATAATTCAGTCAACATACTAAATAAAGTACGGCCACTTTAGTGATTTCACTGCTAAGCATTCCCATGAAGTTTGTGGTCCATACACCTTTAGCGTGGGTACCACCCTTATGCTCTTGTAATAATTAAATCTGTGTAGCTCATGCAGTGGAACGACTGTGGCTGCATTGTAAACTTGTCTGGTCCTGCTTTTCAATTAATGTGGTGCAAGATGTTCCCATCATTTATCTGAAAGTATTATTTCTCTATCAGTCATGGATGGTAAAGCTGGCGGTTTTCCTTGGCCTCAGGGTGTTAGCTGCCCAGTCTTCACAATGATTAGTCTGTTTTTTTTTTTTTGCACACACATCCGCATTACAGACTTGGTTTATCTGTATGTAGACTGTTGATTCCTCACTCTAGATGACTTGTACAATATGCTTATAGGGGTGATCTATTGTTTTCTCTTTAAAATAGTGTGTAATAACACACGAGAAAAAGCAAATATGAAAATAGATAAGGACACACAAAAATAGCAACAACAAAAAGGCTATAGAAAATTGTGTTTGCTCACTTGATAGATAAAACATGAAACTCCAGATGCACAACAACAAAAAACATGGAAAACAGCATTGCAGATCTTTATCCAACATCATGTAACAAATGAACCAGGAAATAAAACTTGAATATTTGCAAAAGGAACTAACAAGACAATGAAAGAATGTCTACACACTGAAAGTAATACAAGTTCTACTGACGGAAAAGAGAGGGTGTCGAGCCTTCACATCCATAGTGGCAAATGAAAAACATACCAGCAACAATGACAACATGAGGTAACCTAACAAATATGTATATATATATACACACCAAATGGGACAATGGAAACAAGACAGAGACAGGAAGCAGAAGGATGTGTGGGTGAATGTACTCCAGGACAATGGAAACAAGACAGAGACAAGAAGCATAAGAATGAAAAGGTGAATGTACTCCAGGACAATGGAAACGAGACAGAGACAGGAAGCACAAGAAAGAAAAGGTGAATGTACTCCAGGACAATGGAAACAAGACAGAGACAAGAAGCACAAGAATGAAAAGGTGAATGTACTCCAGGACAAGGCAGGCCTGAACAAGAAAACCAACAGCTAGTATCATCAGCTCTGATAAGCTTCAGACCATGTTAGGATAAACACTTGAAAAATCAAATTTCAAAGGACCAAAAACACACTTCAGAAAACAGACCTGCAGAACACTTCCTGACTCCCAGCTGACAAGGGAGGCCACAAGTGGATAACCTGTGTACTAATCAACAACCGCTCTAAGTAAGTTTGACCACAGCAAAGCCAGGATTCAATAACATGAGAACATATGGCACGACACCCGCAAACCAAAAAATATATACAGAAGAAGCATTTTTCTTGTAATATTTAGAAGTAAATTTAACCCCACCAGGGTAAAACACAGAGCGATAAACACCCGGTGTGGCACAAAGTGCCACCATTAGGATAAGGATCACTGGTGGTGAGGTCCTGGAAACCCCCAACAACTGTTAGGTTACATTGGGGCCCCTGGCAACAGCCAGGGTGGGGCTTCAAAATAACGAAAAAACTGCATCCCACAAGGGGACGACAGATAATATTTAGAAGGGAAAAACCAAGTTTAACATTCTACATGACTGAACACTGAAGGATAGGCATGACAGGACAGGAACACTCAAGCCTTGTCAATGGGCTCTGTTGAGTACCAAGGACTTACTACTGGGATACAAGAAGATGGACATGTTTTGGTCTATACTATAGTTCATGTTTTTACTGGAGTTTACCTTTTACAGCCAGTCATTTTGTCCACAGACGCTCTAGTGAATATTGATGCAATGGTCCCTGAAAACGGACATTGCTCTTGCTAAACTTCTACACTACATGAAAGTAGTTAGACTAAAAATCAAAACAAAAAAAATACAATAAAAATTATTATTTTTTCTAAATTGAAAATCAGCATCTTCTGACATATCAGAGGTTTAGTTCTCATGAGCTGACAGACAAGAAATGTGATCAGTGAGCTGTTTGAAACCAGAAACAAGCTACTGGTCAAACCAGGACTACTGGGTTGATTTCATGCTGATCCTCAAGCATGAGCCATCAGTTTGTGACAGACAGGCTTGTGAGGGGCAACAACACAATTATGGCCTGGCACCACCAGTACTGGTACTATATAAGACACTTTACCATGTGTGCACGGCTGTATGAGAGATAGAGAGACAGAGCAAAATGAAACCATGGGTGCATTGACCCCAGATCCAATCATCAAAATTACAAAGAGAAATGAAGGGGAAAAAATGGAATACTCACACTCACCTCAGAGACGCGGAGGTAGACCCCTCGTCTGTTAGAGCCCACATCAAAGTAGAACATCTTGTTCTCCACTCGCATTGACCGACTTTCTGGCAAGTCGTTTTGTGGCTCTGGAGAACACAACATGTCAATAAGCTGTCACAACAATAAACTGTCTGTATAACACAACATGCAAATGAGCTGTCACAATAATGAACTGTCTGTACAACACAACATGCAAATGAGCTGTCACAACAATGAACTGTCTGTACAACACAACATGTAAATGAGCTGTCACAACAATGAGCTGTCTGTACAACACAACATGTCAATGAGCTATCACACCAATGAACTGTCTGTAAAACACAACATGCAAATGAGCTATCACACCAATGAACTGTCTGTACAACACAACATGCCAATGAGCTATCACACCAATAAACTAACTGTACAACACAACATGTCAATAAGCTATCACACCAATAAACTAACTGTACAACACAACATGTCAATAAGCTATCACACCAATAAACTAACTGTACAACACAACATGTCAATAAGCTATCACACCAATAAACTGTGTACAACACAACATGTCAAAAAGCTATCACAACAATGAACTGTCGGTACAACACAACATGTCAATAAGTTGTCACAACAATGAACTGTCTGTACAACACAACATGTCAATAAGCTATCACAACAATGAACTGTCCGTACAACACAACCAATTTATCATTCCTCAAAAAAAGGTGTCTTCACTGACCATGTCTATATAGTACAGCTTGAAATCCATAACTATGGAAAATGGATAGAATTCATATCAAACGATTGAAATGACACCACAGGTTATATAAATTTATATTAACCGAGTAAATGTCGATTAACAAACAACAATTTACAGATCGTAATGCCTTGTCTCAAACATTTAAGAACAAGATTTTGATTGGTCGGTTCCACTGTATTATTTAATAAAAACAGACAGTGTATTGATAAGCATTCACAGAAAGAAGTAGAAAGATAGAAGGCTACACTGGACAACATCTAAACTGATAGCTCTGGTTACCGTGCCTGGGAATCAAAACAAAATATCAACTGTCTGTACAAAGTGACAATGCCATACAAATTTGACTATAAAATGACAGTGCTTTAAAAAAAAAAAAAAAAAATAAAGTGTTTTCTTGCGGATACAAACTGAAATGTTTAACCATCACACATACTTGTAAACCATGTGTTGGCTTCATACCCACAATCACCACATTTAACATGGTCACATACAGCAAGAAACTTAAGTCTGTGTCAACTGTCCCGTCCCAATGAACCAAGAACAAATACATACCTGGGTCATATGACCCGACCCAATGAACCAAGAACACACAAACATACCTTGGCTATCTGACCCACCCCAATGAACCACGAACACACAAACATACCTTGGCTATCTGACCCACCCCAATGAACCAAGAACACACAAACATACATTGGCTATCTGACCCACCCTAATGACCCAAGAAGACACACATATACATGGGTCATCTAAGACATACCTATTCCATCTGACCTACCCTAATGAATCAAGAACACAGACATACCTTGGCTATCTGACCCACCCTAATAAACCAAGAAGACACACATATACATGGGTCATCTCAGGCATATTTGTTCCATCTGACCCACCCTAATGAATCAAGAACACACATATACCTTGGTCATCTGTGCCAAACTCCTCCAACAGCTCTGTGAGTGCATCCCTGAACTCGATCATACCCTGGGCAGGGATGGCAATCTGTGAGCGGGGACCTCCACGTGGGATTGTTTGAGACACCTGTTCAGAAACCTGAAGGTCAGCGTACGCGTGAGGCACATAGGGGAATGAAAACATCAACAGGTAAACCAGTACAACACAGAACATGCTACAAGAGGACAATCTTAATACGACACGAGTTAACTAATACGACATGAGGTCAACATGCATGACAACAAGACAAACTGCAGCAACACGAGGCAGCATCAACATACTGGTATATTGATCTGGACAACAACTATGAAAAACTGATGAAAGACCAAATATGACAACCATTTCCCAAAACAATGAGTTAATATGACAGTGCATCAACCAACCATCATCTTCTTCGCTGGCTGTAAATTGCAGTAGGAAATCTTGGTTGTTAACCCATTTCTAAACTCTTGTTCTAGGCCCGAAACACTGCAAGCACATCCCTTTAACAAATCAGGCATATTATGTGTGCAGACTGTTGGTTCCTCGCACCCTTAGACACCGACTTTGGAAGCAGAAACAGTCTTATCCATTTGCTAGGCCTCTGGTAGTTAAGGAAATTGTTTCTAAAAACAACCGCAGAGACAGATAGGTTTTGACTAGGGGTGAGCCCAGGTGGTTTAACACCACTGCACTTAACTTAACAGCATTTAAATGAACATAAGATTTGGCAAGACAATAATATTTCATACTAAGCTAATTTATTGTTTCATCAAGGATTTACCCCGGTCAATTCACAAGCAGCTGGACCGACCAGTGTCCATTTACTCTGGTCAACTCATCGTATGAGTTTTCCTTGATCAATTATTTAGTTCTTCTAATTATGTCCTCTTTTACTGCTTCAACCATTTATACATTTTATACATTGTGGTGCTGTAGAGTTTCTCTGTTATCTTCTTATCTTATTCTTGGTCTACCTTGATCTACGTCCTCTTTTCGTATATGCCTTGTATGTTATAGCATCAGAAGGCATTCTCTCCAAGTGAGCAAACCATTTGATCTGCTGAATTAAGAATTGGTTTTGTGCCGATTTTATCTCAAACGACCTCGTTCCTGATTTGATCTCTACTAGTCACTTCTACAGTTTTTCTCAGACACCTCATTTCAATGGCTACTTTTTTTTTTTTTTTAATCGATCACCGGCTGTGAATTCCAGTGGAAGGTCCCGGTTAATCGTCCGCTTGGACTTTTGGCTTTCACCTGGACCTGATTTTTGCGTGTACAACCGTTTTTCATTTCCCTGCCTCATGGGCAGCTGTACACCGACTTCGAAGGAAGACGTCAGTCCTATTTCTAGGGTGACTGTGGCCATTTTTTTTTTTTGTGGGTCGAGACGTTGCCTGATTTGTGTGGTGTCCACTTTGTCTCCATCGCCACAGGTATTGCCACCGGAGTACCCCTTTTGGGGCAGCCCCCTGTGGAACAGTTAGCCCTCAAGGGAAGGCAGGGGCAGATCATGGGCATTCCCCGCCATCCAAGGAGGCTTCCATGCATGCAGAGCCGGCACATGGCGCTCTGGTTCTGGGCTCACCCAAGGAATCGTCACGTCCTGCACATGCCTGCTTAACCTCACAACCGTATCAGGCCTCCTGCTCGACAGGGGCTGCGCCCTCTGGAAGTCAGCGGGGAGCAGCCCGTGGGTTTTGGAATTTTGTGACCACACAGGTAGGTACATTCTTTTTTTTCTTCGCACGTTAGATTTCTTTGAATTTTACATCCTGCATCAGGCATATCGTTATCAGTTTTGTCCCAACACTCGGGCGAGTGGGGTCTTTGGGTGTGGACATTCGGTCTTTTTCAGTTCAATACAAATTTTGATGGTCAGATTTTGATCCGCATGATCTAGTTTTGTCGGACATTTAGGCCTAGCCATCTGATGGATGGTTGCATTTGTGGTGTATCTCAGCGCGGTGACGACGACACTGAGGGTTAACCGAGGATGTACATGAATGGCCAGCCTATGGATGGTTGCTGTTGTGGAGTACCTCAGCGCAGTGACGACGACACTGAGGGTTAACAGAGGATGTGCAATGAACAATGTTCTCTTTACTTCGCAGTCTTTTAACCAAGGGTTGTAATTTTGCTGTACGTTTGGCAAACCTACTCATGTTCCTAATGAGTTTTGATAACATTTTTCACCCAAGCGTTTGGGGGCGGGCTGATGAGAGCCACAAGGACAAATCACCTCTGGGGGCCGCCGAACTCCGAGATCCCCTGACAGCTCTGTTAATGCTCATTTGAGACATTATCCATGGCGCACGACGAGGACGTGCTGTAGGGGTCTTGCGTAAGGTTCCGTACAACCAGGATAGTAAAGGACTGGCGCCCGAGTGACGTACGGAGTATCTCCTTATACACATCATGTTGGACTTAACTTCCCCTCACGCCTGTGACATAAATCACCGCGCCACTCAATGGCTACTGATTTTTGTTTAAGTTTTGTTATGAGTGATTATGTCTGGCACTGATAGCAGGTTCTGGAACAGGACTGCAGTCCAAAAGTGGATGAACAATCAGAACTTTCCGCCAGAGTTTACAGCTGGTGAATGCGAAGAACCCAGATGCCTGTTTAATGCATGTATGTATGCATGCTCTGATGCTATATTAAAATTCTGCTTCTTTCTTCCTACTGACATTACATTCTGACTTTTCAATACTGATTCTATTATCTGATTTATAATCTTCATTCATGGATGCGACTCATTGCTATATCTCCAATCAAAATCAAGCATTGCCAAGCTTAACAATATATGGAAGTCAAAGGGATTTAGTTTGAAGACAAAACTCAAAATATATAAGAGCAACATTTTAGGAATACTATTATACAACAGTGACTGTTGAAAAAAAATGACAGCAGGAATTACACATCAACCTGAGACTTTTCAAAATGAATGTTTAAAGGAGAATTCTACGAATATTTTGGCCAAATAAGATCACAAATGAAGAACTGAAGAGGAAAAAAGAATGTGCATCACTAGAAAATGTTTCCCGCGTGGGTTGGGGGCCCTATTACAGGGAAAACAAGAATGGACCAACTGTCTACACAAAAGCATGCTATAAGAGTCGACTAATTGGGAGCTTCCTTCGAAGTGTGATGCATCTGCCTGAGAGGCAAGGAACAAACAGTCTGCACACAAATGTGTCAGATAGGTCAAACGGATGCACACACAACACTCAAGATTCTGGAACAGGACTGTAGTCCAGAAGTGGATGAACAACTAAAACTTACAAGCAGAGTTTACAGCTGGTGAACACAAAGAAAAAGAAGACTGGCAAATGTTATCAAAGTAAGACAATGGAGATGGCGTAGACATGTTTGCATAATGCCATGTGACACTGGCAAAAACAGCTCTCCGATGGACAGCCGATGGGAAAGGGAGACGTGGACGACCTAAGGAAACCTGGAGAAGGACAATAGAACGGGAAATAAAGGAATATAAACTAACTTGGGATACCATAGGCAGAAAAGCAGCAGACCGGCAGCAATGGAGAACAGTTGTGAATACCTCATGTGTCAACAGCGACATAAAGAGGATATAGATCTGCAATCAAGGCCTGGTCGTCAGCAGTAACTGTCAATCGTCCAGTAAAAGGATCCTATTCAATGGCCTTGGATCCCATATTTTGTAGACAAATCTACACTGACCTGAGTCAGTGGTATCCATTTCAAGCTGCCTACTGCAGCTGCTGGCAGACAGAATCAGGGAGCTAGCTGGTTGCAGCAGCCATGGATGTGCCCAGAATGGAACAGAATGAGCTGTGTGAGGGTAGTGATTACTATCAGCAATCTGGAGGCAGGTATTGACTCAAACTGAAAATGTAACTAGACTGAAGAATACTTTTACAGATCTGTAGACAGGTAGTGATTACAAATGAGAAGAGCACAGCTTCAGATTAATACCTGCTCTCAGATCTGTAATTTGCATGAAGATTTCTTAAGATATAAGTAGATAGGTATTAATTACAAATGAGAAGAGCACAGTTTCAGTTCTCTGAGATCTGTAATTTGATGAAGATTACTCTTAAGAGATCAGGAGGCGGTGTGGTCCAGGTTACAAATGAGAAAAGCAGAGAACAGTTAACCTGGATAAAGATTTATTTGCAATCAGGAGACACGAACAGGCCAGAAAGGAGAAAGAAGAGCAGAGAGCTGTAACTAGATTACCCTGAGAAATCTGCCGCGCTGATTCTCCTTCAAGTCCAGGTAGTAGCGGCGGTTATCCTTCACAATCATCTCACTCTTCAGCTTCCCATCCTCTGGGGGCGTCTCTGAGTTGGTTGGACCTAAACATACATGACATCACAACAGGGTCTGTAATTTTAACTATTAATCTTTTTCTGCTTGTGTCTTATCTTTCAGTGAGGAACAGGCTTCAACCTAATCATGCCAAGCTCTTTGTGGACTTGATTATGATTGGTAAGAGTAAGAGTTATGCAGCAAAAGTTTTCAACAAGAGTTAGAAAAACTCGCTTTTCTCTAGCCAATGATACCCAAGCTGAATGGTAAGTAGCTCCCTTGAAATTTTTTTTTTTACAAATATTAAAGGTTTAAATAAAACAAGAGGCTAAATCCAATATGGACCCTTTTAAGGAGACAGAGAAAAAGAGTGAATCTCAGTGTAATGAAGGTTTGACAGACAGCCAGATACCTGGCAACTCAATATGGCATTCTAGGAGTGATCTAGCAGAAATACTCCACTGAATAATGCTTTGGGTGTTAACCTTTTTATCTTGAAATGAAACAAAGTCCTTTGTAAAACACTTATTTCACACAAGTAGATAAATTAAAAAATTTACCTATATTATATATATAAAAATCAAGTAAGTAATCAAAATCAATAGACAAGAAAAGAGTGAAGCATTTAACATAATGCATTTCCAGGGCTACAAACAAATATAAACTGGGTGGTTCTTGCTGTGACCTCTATCAGAGAGGCTTTCTGTAACATTTGGTCAACCTGCTGTAAAAAAAGCCATTGTGGTCAAAAGAAAACCCCTTTATATGCTATATTTAGTTTACATATTCAAATCTGGGCCTCCTAAACACTACGCAGGCTCATACAGAACCAATGGCATTAAACTACTCTTCGAAAACAGGTCACTGCAGAAATGGCCATAAACTGGTATTTAACTCTGAGTCCCAAGAAATGCATCATATGTTCATAGGTTCATACCTAGAAGCCCAATAAACGCATGATGCGCCGATTTGATTACTTTCTTTACTACCCTCTGGGCATGTGATGCTAAACCCCCTGGGACTCGGGCTATGTTGCAGATAGAGTGAGTAGGTTTAACCTTCTTTGGGTGACACAGTAAACCCCGGAACCCATTTTGGGAAACTAAGAAAATGAAAGGGAAAGACCCACTTACCCAGTGAAGCATAATGATCCGCAAATTCAGACAAGAAATCTCTGAACTCTGCTGCTGACGACATAGCCAAGAGGAGACGGCTTTTCTTGCCTCCTGCCCCGACCTGAAAAGGTAATTAACATGAGATCATATAAAGAGGAACCCGGGAAGGAGATTGTTACACCATTTCAAGTGTCCCTAAAGTTTTCTGAAAGTTTACTCTAAACGTAAAGTGTTGACAACAAGTTTACTAGATGTAAAAATTACCCTGTGGGTGTGTGTGTGCACACAAATTGTTGGATCAGATGCAGCAGTCAATTTTTTTTTTTTTTTAAACATTTCTCTCAAATGAATTCTTATGGCTTTACTTGACAATCTAGTGCTTTACTCTGCAACCAGATATTTATTTCTAGTGTATTATTGCTGAACACTGATGAAAGTAAAACCACGATTCTACCAGACCATGAGATAAACAGGTCCTATCAGATAATGCATGAAATAAGTAAGGCAAACTTGAAGATTGGTAGACTAAGGACATCCTCTATGATAAATTACAGTAGAGTCGAGGTAGGCTGCTATGATATAAAGATGTATGCTAACAGGACATGAATGATACAGGCTCTGAGGTAGATGTCTGGGAACAAAATGCTATGGAATATGCTGCATGCAAGGGAACAATGAGAAAGGGAATAGGAATAAAAGAGAAAATGACAGTAAAAGGTTCAGAGCTGAGTGTCTGCCTGCAATGGTCCTGAAATCCCATGAAATAATTTTGGAAAACCATTCCTAACATGAGCGAGTTTTGCAACCACACGAGCCACTGACATGATGTGTGACTGTCTTCCTAGCACTAGAACACTATCAAGACGGAAAGGTGCCAACAATATATAATGCCTGAGAGACTCGGCTACTACAAGGGAGTGTATGAGATAACCAGATGCTCCTGTGTGGTGGATGGCACTACCATGCAGTAAATACAAACAATCTGAGCACTTACCTCTGCCACCTTAATGAAGCGGCCACGTCTATTCTGCTTCACATCTAGGTAAAACCTCTTTGACTGAATGTGAAGTGTACGCGTAGCCAACTCCTGCTCCGCAGACCCTCCTGTGACAATAACAATGCTGCCCATGAGACATGTGCACAACTAACTCTACACACAACACTCAAATACATACAGTTCAACTTTAGCATAACAGGCAATCGCATAGAGTAGCAAGCAGTGTGCTCAACCTTTCAGTCTCTCCAACCAATAACTATCCAGTTTACATAAAACACAACAGTTTAGTTTTTCCCCATACTGCCTCCGCTAGTTTTGGTAAATGCTGAATCAAAGTGTGGTAAATAATTATAAAGGCACAATTCTTAACTACGTGTCCAGAGTCAAGCAAATGACGACCCATGGAAGAACTTGATTCTCTTCTTGGCTGACCTTGATGAAGCTCCACTCAGTTAAGTGTGCATCAGCCATTTAGGGATGTGTTCCGCCATACAGTTTTCAAGTTCTCTTCCTCAATGACTCTACAGATATGGGCAAATGAGAAAACTAAACCACCTATTTTTTGGTTTAAAAAAAGCACCCGCAGTGACAGGGGTCAATGTATGGCACCATCACCCATCTCAATGTCCTGTTGGCATCTTTTCGCTTTCTAGAAAACGGTCTGTATGGTATGGGCAGGTCTGGGAACCACAGCACATGCTGACCTGTTTGACCAGCTGAGAATCTTAGACATAAAAAAGTGCATGGGATTTCAAGACCACTGTCCCCATCACAGGTATCTTGACATGGTTCTGTCCTTTTCCCTGTTGTCCCTCTAAACTTTCATTCACTAGAGAGAAGTGGTTCTCAACCTATAGGCAGTTACCCTTTTCGAAGAACCCTTGCACAGGGGTCGCCAAAGACTACGACAAAACAAATATTCATTGAAGTTATGAAGTTGTGACGAAAATAATTGATCGTTGGGGACGCCACAACACGAGGAACTGTATTAAAGGATCAACACAACATGAACTGAATTAAAGGGTCCCCACAACATGAGGAACTGTATTAAAGGGTCCCCACAACATGAGGAGCTGTATTAAAGGGTCCCCACAACATGAGGAACTGTATTAAAGGGTCCCCACAACATGAGGAACTGTATTAAAGGGTCCCCACAACATGAGGAACTGTATTAAATGGTCCCCACAACATGAGGAACTGTATTAAAGGGTCCCCACAACATGAGGAACTGTATTAAAGGGTCCCCACAACATGAGGAACTGTATTAAAGGGTCCCCACAACATGAGAAGCTGTATTAAAGGATCAACACAACTTGAGGAACTGTATTAAAGGATCAACACAACATGAGGAACTGTATTAAAGGGTCACCACAAAATGAGGAACTGTATTAAAGGATCAACACAACATTAGGAACTGTATTAAAGGATCAACACAACATGAGGAACTGTATTAAAGGGTCCCCACAACTTGAGGAACTGTATTAAAGGATCAACACAACATGAGGAACTGTATTAAAGGGTCCCCACAACATGAGGAACTGTATTAAAGGGTCCCCACAACATGAGGAGCTGTATTAAAAGGTCCCCTCAACATGAGGAGCTGTATTAAAGGGTCCCCACAACATGAGGAACTGTATTAAAGGGTCCCCACAACTTGAGGAACTGTATTAAAGGATCAACACAACATGAGGAACTGTATTAAAGGGTCAACACAACATTAGGAGCTGTATTAAAGGATCAACACAACATGAGGAACTGTATTAAAGGATCAACACAACATAAACTGTATTAAAGGGTCGCAGCATTAGAAAGGTTGAGATCCACTGCTATATAGAATATCTTTAGATCTCAAATGTCTAGTGGTGGCAATAAACATGAGAAAACACCCAGTTCATTGTCTCCCAGTTGATAAATGTTCATGGTCTACTGGTGCCAACATGGATCGGTGTTAGGCCACCAAAACCATCTTGCTGTGCTGGTACTTAAAGCAATACCCATCCTAATGTCTAACAACACAGATTCATTGGGAACACGCTGAATCATGGTACAGCACACTGACAAAGGCTTGTTTGCCAACTATGCACAACTGTGTGATCAATAGTCCCACAAAACAAACTTGTCATGGAAATCAATAAAACAAGATCCGTACAGGCAGGCAGGCTTGCTGCATTAATTCTTTGCTGCTGTGTAAGCAAACTGTCCTCACTAGCATAACGAGATGTTCCACTATGATTGCATCAAACCGAGCAGCGCAGCTTGTATTCTCATTACCATCACTTACAAGAGACAACATTCTGTGACAAACCAAACTAAATTACATGACATTCTTATTACACAGAACAATATGGCTTTCTCGATATGATGATGTTACTCTTTTACAGACCAAAATATGACTCTCTACAAGAATACTCTCCGTACACAGCATAATGGATTTTTTTCAACACATAACATTACTCTCATGTGATTACATTATGTTTATTACATAACATCATGGGACATGTCAAGGTGACTACATGAAACTTGCTAAAACAAAGAAAGAAAAAAAAGAAGGGGGGGGGAGAGAGAGAGAGAGAGAGAGAGAGAGAGAGAGAGAGAGAGAAAGAGAGACAGAGAGAGAGAGAGAGAGAGAGAGAGAGAGAGAGAGAGAGAGAGAGACAAAAATTCAATGTGAAATCATGAACACAACAACAACCAACATATTCACAGAGACAAGACAGAAAACATGAAAACTTACCAGGATCTGAAGCTTCTGAGGAAGATAAGAAAACAAGAATGACAGACATAAATAATCATGACTATATACATGAGCAATATGTCTGTCTGTCATGGTCTGCCTCATGTAGCAGAGCAGAACTATTCAACAAGTTAACTCAGGGATACTGCAACACAGAACCAGGCAGCAGGGCCCATAAACTATATTCATACCGGGCATGTCTCAAAACAATGTAGCAGAGACAACTGTCTGGAGAATATTTTATATTCCAGGTGACTGACATGTAGCAAATAGTCTCAGACAGTCAGTAGAGAGGTGTGAGAGTAATTAGCTGAAAACAGGACAGGAAAACAAGTGGTAACCACAAATATTTCCTTTATGCACTCATTGATTTATAGAAGCCAAACCATTCACTGACTTTCAATCATACTTGAACATAACAATCTGAACCATCTTTAGACACATGACAATTTTCCCATGGATTTTTCACCTAAATGATCTACAGTTGTTTAATTCAAGAACTGTGTCTTAACTGTGAAAAATACCAAACACATCTCTACTAACACAGCTGACATATTTAAATGTGTCACTAAAATGAATGGTAATTGCCTGGATTAGAGACTCTTTATAGATGCTGTGCAAGAGTCAGACTGGAAGCTCACAAGAGCAAGCTGGTCAGGTTACAAGAAAGTGTCTCCCAGGGAGGTGTTTTACCTCCAACCCTGTTTATTCTTTTAATTATTGACCTCCCAAAACAGTTCATGAAACATTCACTAAGCTATATATGCAGATGGACTGGCCATATGGACCCAAGCTGAACAACTAAATAAAGAATGCAGGAAGCTATAAAAACAGTTAAGAAATGGACAGACTCTTGGGGAGTCACAATAAACCGGACCAAAATGTGATCTAAGAATGCATGCAAAGACCCTTGAACACGTCTACAACTATAATCTAAACCCAAATGGACACACATATACACCGATGGATTATTGGTACAAAACGGAGGAGCTGGATCGGTCATCATGCTGCAAGATGGGACACAGTAGATTTTTCGTCTACAAACAGGACACTGCAGGCCTACCACATGCATAAAATAAATAAATATACAGTCCCCACAGTGTGCCTGACAAACAGGACCACAAATTTCAAATGTCTATTTAAAAGCTGTATCCTAAACATATTTCAAAACTGTAATTCTAGCATGAAAACATGAAAGTGTTCAGGCATTCACCAATACCAGGGACTCTGTGCAATCTGCTGAAGTGTTCAGTAAGGGACCTGTTTCCACACTACCTAGATGACAATAGGTATGTCCCCCGAAAGGGTTACAAAACCGACACTTCTGGTTGGGGCCAATTGCCTGTAAATATCACTTTCTCAATTTGTCTTGTGTACACCACTGTACACCTATGAGCTTATGTTCCAGAACTTGAGTTTTGCATACACTTTGTGTGCAGACTAGTGGTTCGCCACTCAAGACGATGTAGAATTTCCTCCTGGTGTGTTGATTCCAATGAATATGTCAATCCTTCAAAGGCATCTGTGACATGGTTCTCTCTGAACAATCACACTATCAAGATGGACTTGCCAGAAGTAAAAATAGGTGATGTTTTTTCAAAACCAACATGAGATACCCGGGGGTGCAGTTTGATGGTAGCTTGTGCATCAAGGAACATGTGATAACAAAAGCAGGCAGAGGTCTGTCAGCAATGAGGGCCATGGCAGCTTCCAATATTGAGCAAAGACTACTAGTGCTTCTGGTCCTGGGCTGGTTCTTTCTCCCACTGAGTATGCTATGGCCATACACTTACACATTTTGCTATGGCCATACACATACACATTTTGCTATGGCCATACACTTACACATTTTGCTATGGCCATACACTTACACATTTTGCTATGGCCATACACATACACATTTTGCTATGGCCATACACTTACACATTTTGCTATGGCCATACACTTACACATTTTGCTATGGCCATACACTTACACATTTTGCTATGGCCATACACTTACACATTTTGCTATGGCCATACACATACACATTTTGCTATGGCCATACACTTACACATTTTGCTATGGCCATACACTTACACATTTTGCTATGGCCATACACTTACACATTTTGCTATGGTCATACACATACACATTTTGCTATGGCCATACACTTACACATTTTGCTATGGCCATACACTTACACATTTTGCTATGGCCATACACTTACACATTTTGCCATGGCCATACACTTACACATTTTGCTATGGCCATACACATACACATTTCGCCATGGCCATACACTTACACATTTTGCTATGGCCATACACTTACACATTTTGCTATGGCCATACACTTACACATTTTGCCATGGCCATACACTTACACATTTTGCTATGGCCATACACTTACACATTTTGCTATGGCCATACACATTTTGCTATGGCCATACACTTACACATTTTGCTATGGCCATACACTTACACATTTTGCTATGGCCATACACTTACACATTTTGCTATGGCCATACTCATTGTCAGCTCTACACATATTGCAAGACTTGAAAAGGTACTAAATGAAGATAATTCGAAAGACACCTCCTATCGGGGGCTGCGTTAGCGCAGTCGATAAGACAGAGGCTCGCTTCAAATCCAGCTGCGACTCGCTGCAGCCCACTAGGAAAAGATGGTTATAGGGCAGCAAAGCAAATGTAAAAGAACCACAAGAATGCCTGTGGCAGATACTCTCGGCAGTGGCGGTATAGTCCCCGGAAGTACGCAATAAACACGTGACTGAGGCCCTGTTAGGGTATATTTTCGGCCTCAATAATTTGGGACCGTTATTCGAAGGATAGCCAGTTTGCTGTTTCGCTATCACTGCTGAAGGTCAACCCACGGATCATGCTATTATAAATGCCCTCAGAAAATTGGGAAGGGTGGAGGACTTTCAAAATTGACAACATATCGCTCAACAGAATAAAAGATTCAGGGGATATCAAGAGATTAGATGAGCATAGAGAAAAGCGAGACACACCGGGTCCACAAAAAAGACTTTTAATCAACAAAGAACTGGCACTATTAGTCGATGTAGAATTTCCTTCTGGTGTGTTGATTCCAATGAATATGTCAATCCTTCAAAGGCATCTGTGACATGGTTCTCTCTGAACAATCACACTATCAAGACGGACTTGCCAGAAGTAAAAATAGGTGATGTTCACAGAACGCTGGGGTTCATATCATATTAAGGGAAGGATCTGAGCCTCTATGGACTTGTCCCGAGTGCAATGATCATATCCCAACTAACTAACTCAGGAAGATGCATGTTTTCTTGTCCCGAGTGGGTTGCTGGGGTATGGGAAAAATGGTAGACTGACCCCTAACATGCGTATGTGTTTCCTTTAAAGTATGACTGCATCTGACTAAGAGCTCAGGAACCAACAATCTGCAGACAGATCAGCCATATCTGTGAAATGGACATGCACATAAAACCCAGGTTCTAGAACAAGACTTAAAATCCAGAAGTGGAGAACAATCCGGATTTTCTGCTGGAGTTTCAGTTTAAGGCTATCCTCCGAATAACAGGCACTAAAGATGGTGACAACCAAATATCCTTTCGAACCAGTCACGTGACTTAATTTTCGTTTCTAAGGCGACTACCGCCACAAGGCCCCCACGCTGCTCATGCGGCGTGGATTGGGGCTAAACTAGATGGTAAGGACTCACGAGCAAAGCTTCAGGAGATGCGGAAGCTGCTGCTTGCGGTAGTCGCCGGAAAACCGTAAAAGTCGCCGGAAGTGCGCAATTGACACGTGACTGTGGTTCGAAAGGGTATTTTGCGGCCGCCATCTTTACATCTTTAGTGCCCGTTATTCGGAGGATAGCCCAGTTTACTACAGCCTGTGAATGTAACGGCGAAGAATCAAGATTTTAATCAACATTTTTCAATTCAGCATCTATCTTTCCCCTTATTATAACAATGTGTGATTCATTCTGACAAGGTTATGTTTTTGCCTGTCACATGGAGGCATGTGGTCTGACATACCTTTAATTAATAACCTGGTCAGAAGGCTGTTTTATCTTGACGTCAGATTTAAAAAGCCTTGCCTTTCCAGTTTCCTTATGATTTGTTACTTTACCACTTTTACCACATCTAATATGAAATAATTAAAAAATACTGTATACTCATAAATTATGTGCCCATGTTTTATATATGAATTTGCAGGGTAAACTGACACTGTGACTCAATGACTGATTTAAGCCACAAAACAAACTACTGTACTGGTGGCTATATGCACAAGAGTAGAATCATGAATAAAAACGTATGTGCAGGAAGCTGCAGCACTGGCGCAAAGAACGATCCAAGATAATATAATGAGGCTCGTCTCGCATTTGAGACAAGACCAATTTCACTGACGCCATTTTGCAACATGCCGTCCACATTCTGAGCCAATGCCCCATTGCTCCCTCCCAGCTTCGGCTGACTTACATTTAGCACAAATGCAAAGAAATACATGTAAAGAAAGAAGATGCGATCAAGAAAAGCAAAGACCTGGGGCGTTTTACCTTGGGCCTGCGGCTGTTGTTGCTCGTCTCCGCTCTCTCGGTCCGACATGGCGCATCCCTTCCTGCACAAGTCCACTGCCTCCTTCTGGGCTTCACTAATTATTCATGAGGTAGTACACACAAACCTGTGACGTTTACTACCATTAATAAAATATGGATCGTGCTTCGACAAGAAACAAGAATTCCGCCCTCATGTAGACAACTTCTTCGAGGGCTAATCAATACCCATCTGGTAATCTGGTAATCCTAGTTTCAGCTTCATAGCAAACGGGTCACCCCATAGTTGCTCCGCTCCTGTGTCAATGAAAAATACACGTAGCTCACAGTGTCACGCCATGCACTCAACTCAGAAGCTGGCCGACAAATGGAGCAAAAATGCAACGGCCACCGTCTGGCAGGGGAAAAAAGGTGGCCGTGCCTAGCGTCCATTTTAACCTGAAGCATTATATGAGGGTTAATAAACGGTCACCCCAGCAGTACCCTCATTATTAGCTGGGGAAGGGACTTAGGACATTACACCCACCAGCAGGCGTCGCCCCTACAACGACCTGCCTGCCTTCGTTAACGACTGTTCACCCAACAGCCATGCAGTTCTTTGGCACGAAGGAGACACCTTGAACTTGGGTTTCGGACTGCTGACTCCCTACAAGATGTTATTTTATGTTTTGTTATCACACTTGATGTCACTGCACATTGGGCATACCCATGCGTGCTCAGTTCTCCAAAGCAGCAGCCACTCCAAAGTTCTTCTACTAATTGTCCCCATGAGAAGCTGGTTATATCGTTTCCTTTCTCGGCCCCGAAGACGGCAAAGACGTGCATCACCATGCTTAACTTCCATGTCACGCAATCGTGACAGTGACAGGGATTCCTGATATTCACTAGACCAGCCCGTACAGGGTTGACAATATCTGCTCTGTCCATGCTTTTTCCTGCAATCATTAGTGCAGTGCTTGCCAGTTGGTCCGCTCGCTCATTTCCTTTTACGCCCGCATGACCCGGTGTGTAGATCCAGATTACGGAGGTTAAGTGCGATTTCCGTATGCTTTCTATCCATTCAGAGCGCATACTGCCTGTTGCTATCTTCTGAAACATATTCCTTGAGTCTGAGACAATTACTGCTTGTGTGGTGGTTTGCTCGGATACCCACGCTAAAGCTCTAGAAGCAGCGGCTATTTCCATTGTCATGCTTGACGTGGTTGTCTGGTAAGCGCCGCTGTCCTCGTGTATTGTTTTCCCCCTTCTTTGCGCTGTGTATGCCCATACTGACCTTGATCCGCGCTTCACGGATCCATCTGTGTAGATGATGATATCTTCTGGGTCTGAATACTGATCTATCAGTTCCCTTACTTATGTGTCTACGGTCGCAGGAATTTGATCCCTGCAGTACCTTCCGAGTGTGATGACAACCTTAGAGATGCCATGCATGTCTACTGGTGTAATCGTCCATTCTTTTCCGTGACTGATCACGTCTAGGTCACATACCTGCTGGAATAAATCCTCAGCCTTTGCCATCCAAGAGCGGCCTCTTTTGAGACGCGTTCCTTTTGTTTCGGATATAGCTTTGTGCAATGGGTGGTTAACGTCTGCCGATACCCTCATGTAAGCCTTGACCTGTGCCACTTTGTACCTGCTAGTCATCATCGGCAAACCCAGGACATAACGCATGGCGTTGCGGGTGTCTTTTGTGCAGCCGAGTATGAGTCTCATGGCCTCATTTTGTACTCGGTCCAGTCTTTCTAGCTGGGTTTTGTTGACAGCGAGGAGGGCAAGACCATAGTCAATGACGCTAGGCACCAGCCCTTGATAGAGAAGGAAAAGTAGGCGTTGTTCAATATCAGCTGCTGCTAGCACCCTGGGTGCTGTCAAACCTTTCCTGGCTCTAAGTATGACGTTGTCTACGTGGCATTTGTATGACAAGCATCTGTCAAATGTCATGCCCAGGTATTTCATGGTGTCCGTTCTCTCGATGTCCACACCACAGATGCTTACGACTGGCGTTGGTGTACTAAAGATGTGGGTATTCAGAGAGAACAATGTTAAGGAGGCTTTAGACGGGTTCACCTGAGCTCTTGATCCCTGGCACTACTCACTAAGTCTGTCTAGTTCGTGTTGTAGTGTGGTTGTAATTTCCTGCCTGTTTTTACCTCGACGGTAAACAGGGATATCATCTGCATACGACATTGTTCTGCCTAGGCCTACGCTTTGTGCACTCGTGATTCCTGCTGTGTACACACTGAAGAGCGCAGGCGACAATGGTGATCCATGGGGCAGACCCATTAGGACGCGTTGAGGTTCGGATGCCCATTCACCACATCGAAGCGACACTGTTCTTTCAAATAGCGCTGCTGCGATACATTTGACCAATTTTGTTTCTATCTGCATATCCAACAGCAGTCTGATGAGCATGTTGTATGGGACGCTGTTGTACGCATCTTCTAAGTCAATAGCGGCTACAGCAGTTTCCATTCCCCCCCTGGAAACCCTCAGATGTGTCGTAGGCAAATACTGTAGCATTGCACTATGTATCTCTTCCTGGTCGGTACCCACCTAGTGTAGCGGGGAATAGGCCACCTGACTCCAATGTTTGGGTCAACGTTCTGGCAACGATTTTTTCCATGAGTTTTCCTACAGTGTTCTGGAGTGTGATGATTCTGTAGCCATTTATTCTTATGTGGTCTTTTCCTGGCTTAGGAACCGGTCTGAGATAGCTGCGGAGTCAGTCAACCTAAATAATGCCAGTTTTCATGGTGTTAAAAATCGTGGATAGTTCATCCATATCTGTTGCCTCGAGGCTTTTGAAGTCGCTGTATTTAATGCCATCAGGCCCTGGAGCTGTGCCTGGACAGGTCTTCAGTGTTGCTCTGATGCAGTCCGTTGAGATGTATACGGTATCATCGACTTCCTCCATTTCAGCCATCTGGATATCATGTAAACTCTGTCTCATCTGCTCCCTCTCTTCCCTATCTTTCTTTTCCATCTGCAGGAGAAATCTGTGCAGGATAGTCTGTATCCGATTGTAACACCACCCCGTTGCCCATCTTTAGCTCGGGCATTATAGAGATTTGTTTGCCTCCGTTCATATTTTAGTGGAGTCGCCAGAATTTTAAACGAGATTTTTCGAAACCTATATGGCAAAAATGTTCCCACATTGTGTGTTTAAAATCAATACCCATGCATGTATAGACGTTCCTACAAAAGTTCAGCGATCTTTTCCCACAACAAACGAACAAACACTGGGAGTGGAAAAAAAAAAAAAAGGGGGGGGGGGGGGGGGGGGGGCTAAGTCACACATGAATTGCGTGACAGTATCTTGTGTACAAGAAACTATTTAATGTTTTGCCCATCTAACCCCCACTCTCCCCCCCCCCCATTTTTTCCTTCTTCATCTTTTCTCATCTCCTTATATCTGTTTTCTATAGTTCATAACAATATCCCTATTTTAGGTTTGCTTCTTTTCCTCTCACCACACTGGTATGTCCACTCTAAGATTATAGATTTTATGTTATCCTATCTCCTCCAGGTAATCACGACCTTTATGTATAATGCTATCAATTTCTCATCCCATTTTGTTCGTTTCGTACTGATCTACATATGTCGTATTACTACTGCACGTTCTTCTTCTTCTTCATGTGTTCGCTTTCTGATTTACACCGATAGACAGGTTCTTGTGATAAACTTGACTGTTTTTATGAGTTCATTTTTAGTCCCATACAACTTTGTGTACAGTGGTGATTCACTGGGCCAGAATTCCTTTCTTAATGGGCTGAACAAGGGACAGTCTTGCAGGACATGTTCTGTAGTCTGCACAAATAGCCCACAAGGGCAAAAAGGTGAACTACTTAGACGAAGCCTGTGCATATGCTGGTTAAGTTTGTTATGTCCTGTCCTGAGACGTAGGACAATGACCTGCCCATGCCGGTCAAGTAAGTGGTAGTCATCTCTGGCCAGACTCTGTTCACTTCTAATAGCCTGGATGGCCCTTTTCTTCTCATAGTATGTTACTGCATTCTTTTCCTGGTCACATTCTGCCCCTTTTTTTAGCAAGTTTATCTACGGTTTCGTTTCCTGGTATACCACAGTGGGATGGCACCCACTGGAGTACAGTACACTTTTGGGCAGCCACCTTGCCAAGTTCAGATCTTAGGTGAGGGAGTTTGCCACTCTTGAGGGCTTGAAGCACTGATAGCGCATCTGTGAATATGACCACTTGGTGGCAGTCAGAACTGGTATTGTGTAACATTTCGGCAGCCTGCTCTAGTGCTACAATCTCTGCTGTGTAGTTGGAACAGAATTTACCAGTGAGTATCCACTTTGTGTTGCGGTGGTTGCCCGGGTATGTAATAAAGACTCCAGCACCCCCATTTTTAACCGCACTGGTTGCTGATCCATCTGTGTAAACATGTATCCATGACTTTTCGGGATAGTTTTCATGAATCATGCTAAAAGCAGCTGTTCGTTTTTCAAGATAATTGGACTCATCTCCAGTTGTGAATCCATTGACTGAAGTCATTATCTGTATTGTATCACTGACTTGCTCCCAAGGTACAGGGTATAGGGTAGGTTTCAGCGGTGTTGTTCTAATAGGTAGATCAGCTTGATACTGTCTTTCTTCTAAGTCTTTTCCCCCGATGGACAAAACTGCTACGTTTGAGACGCCCTAATGCCAGATCATCTAAACTTTTATTAATTGGGTGTGACTGCATACTATTAAACTTTTCCATCTGGATCATAGTTTTAGTGTCTCTTCTATAGGAGAGTGTCTGCAGTTATTTTCTGCATCTTCAGGATTGGTGCAGTTTTCATGGATCCTGTGATGAGTCTAAGAGCTTGATTTTGCACTCTGTCTAACGATTGTAGATGGGAATTAGCAGCTGTTGACCATTCTGTTGCATCAAACTCCAAGTGGGGTCTTATCGCTCCATTATAAACTTTCTTTAGGGTTTTTCCATTCGCTCCCCATCCTGTACCTGCCAGTTTTCTAAGTAGGCCTAGTCGTCTCCTGGCCTTCCCTTCTACATTTTCTATATGTTTGCTCCATGTGAGCCT